CCAACTGCAATAAAAAAAAAAAATTCACACAGTTGTAAATGTTGGTTACAGTACGCCTGTTTTTAAAAGGTTTTCCCCTTCTGGGTTGAACTCTGACATTAACACACCCTGAATGCTGGGATCACATTGCATTGACTCAGGTTTACTTTCAGTTTCTAAAGAGGTCAAGTATAAGACAGAACTGGATGAGCTGGGAAACAGAAGGCATTAAGGCTGACGGCAGAAACACTTCATATGTGTATGCAGGAATGTTTTAGTGTGAGTTGAGAAGGTGAGAGCTGTCCTGCAGTTAAGATTGAAAATAAGACAACTAGCAGAAATTGAAAAATGGGAAGCTCTTAAAACTTCACTTTTTTTTATTTCTGTTGTATTTTGGTCGTGTTGAGAAAAGAGACACTTCTTCTCTGAAGCAAAAAAAGAAAACAGTAAGTAAATTTTATTAATAATTAAATGACAACTTTAGGTTAAGAACCAGTTCTATTTTGAACTATACAAAAATATGAATATGAATCTTTTTGTTTATCATAATTCTTTACGTGTAAAGGTCACAGATGTTTTAATAAAAAGTAAAAAAAAAAAAAATTTTTTATTTTAATTTGCATAACTATTCAATAATACTTTATTAATCTCTGAGGGGAAATTCAGTTTCTTTCCAGAAGACAGAAACACACAGAATGAAAAACCACAGACATTAAACATGGGGCGGTGCGGCCTCCGTGGCTTCCTGCCATGAAAGGTGTTGCCCTTACAGGTGGGAAAAAAAGAAAAGGGATAACAATGAGTGTGAGCAGGAAAAAAAAATATTTCACAGTCAATCCTTCTTTTTCAAACTTTATTTATAAAGAACATGTAAAACAACCGGGGTTGACCAAAGTGCTCTACAGATATCACAGTTGCAGGAAATAAGGTAAAACCTTAACCCTTTAAAGGGCAAGTTGCCGTTTTTTCATCAGTTTCTATATCCAGCCATTCAGCAAAGATGCTCCTACATGGCTGTGCATCTTATTTTGGCAATTGAACAATTAGATGAGCCATTTATTTATATATTACCCACTGTAAAATAAGTTTGAAAAAAAAAAAGGTCAACAAGTTAAGAAAAAAAGGTAAAAAGCAAATCATTATAAGCATTAATGCCTCTAAGCTTATGTAGCACCAAAAAAAAAAAAATGTGTTTCTTTCACTCCCAGAGTGTTTTTCACAAATTTCTTATAGAAGCACTTTTGTTATTTTTCTTAATATATTCAGGCAAGTTGGCATTTTTTGTTATTACATTGATCTTAATTTTTGCCATCAAAATGTCCATATTTTTTTAATGTTACAACAGTAATAAGGTCTTGTCCTGAATTCCAATAACACTATTGGCTTGAAAAGTACACAAACACAATGCAATAAAATAGAGTGAAAGTAAAAAAAAGAATAAAATAAGTTAAAATTTAAATAAAAATGGAAATATATATATATTTTTTTTTGCCAGATGTCCTCTTAGACTTGATTAAAAGCCGGGGAGAAGAATGTGTTTTCAGGGAGGATTTAAAAATCCTTAGCAGGATTCAGTTAGAGATTGCAAAAAACCTCAACAAAGATGCAACACAACATCTTGCAGGAGGGATGGTGGAGAAATATGAGGAGAATATCATGTCTGAGCATGTGAGTGTGTGCGAAGTAAGTCCATGAAGCACTGTTCCCAGGGTCAATCTCCCTGACAGAGGTTCATCAACCCGACCGAACAAGGCAGGTTCACAGATGTCCTCAGGGAAGGGAGGGCTCCGCTGAGAACAAGTCAAACAAAACAAGCAGATTTTTAAAAATTCGTTTAAAATAATTATAAGTGCTGTACACATAGTAGTAAAAACACAAGACATAAGTACGTTTAAAAAAAATAGTATATTAAACGAATGTTTTAGTTTTCTTTTGGAAGCATCACATCCTGGCAAAGCCGTACCTAGAATGAGAGCCAGAAGAAGAAAATAGAACATTTATTTTAGCTGAGGTTTTTTTCTTTTATTCCTGGTTTATCCCTGATTAGGCTGAACACATGTTTCATCCATGACCTCACATCCAGAGTTCAGGTAAAAAGTTTATCCTTCCACATCTGACCATCAGGAAAGTCATCAAAATAGAGATGCCCATCATTAGCATAATGTTTTGATGAAAATCGAGGCTCTTTCTTCCATGGATGTTTCCAAGTAGCTGTAAGTAGATATTAAAAAGAATATCACTCAGTACTGACTTAGTACTGATGAACACCATATTTATATGTGTTCATTTCAAAATTTCAATTTGGTGCCAATTTTCAGTTTCCATTTCAAATTGGCACCTGTGATGGGGGGGGGCTGGCGTACCATACTTGGCGTAGGGGGGTGGACTACCTGGGTTGTGACTGCCTGGCAGCCATAGGTATGAGAGGAGCATATGGATGGGTGGCTGGAATGGTTACTTCAGTGGGCGCTTTCTCATTCCTGTTGACTGCCGGTCCAGGCTTGGGCCTCCTGGCCCATTGGGGTCATCACTTGGTGGTGGTGGGCCTCTGGAACCCGGAGATCTCATCTCGTCCATCTTGGGAATGACCAGCCACCGGTGGAGCACATTGGCTTGCTGTCAAAGCCCTGTGGGACCCGGGGTGCCTCTGGATATCCTGGGCTTGTATCGCCTCTTTTTCTGTGCAGGGCCCTATAGGGTGAATCTGGGGCCACCCACACCTTCTATTAAACCTACCTTAAACACATTTTCCTTCTGATCAAGCTTTCTAAATCCTTTATTTACAGGAGCATGCCCATGCATGCATGCCATGGGAGATTGGTTCTAGGTGTTGTTAAAGAAAAATGATTATTTTTAGTCTTTAATACAGTTAATCTTATGGCATGTGTAAAAGGTATGTTGATTTAAAGCACCAGGCCATAAAATGAGTATCTCCTGGGGGGCGAACATTATTTGAGCCTGGATGAGAGATTTCTCCCTGGTTTACAGAAGGTCAAAAGTCTTCCAGAATAAACATTTGGGATGGTGTGAAACTGAATCAGGATGACTTTAAGAATTCTAGATGCCAAGACAGGCTTTCCGCTTTTTCTTGTTAAAACAAAGAAGCAAATTACCCCAGATGTTTGCAGTAAATTAGGTGAAGCTCTAGGCAGTGTCAGAGATGGCTCCTGGTTGGAGGAGCAAGGGCCAGCCTTTTTTGAATGGATTAGATACAAGAGGATAAAGCTTTCTACATAGAAGTAACAAATCAGATTTGCTCTTGCAACTCTCCAAAGATGTCTGTACGTCTTTGCTTTCTTTTCCTCTCTCCATTTATGTCAGGTAATTGAATGCATGTCTCCGTTGTTCTGCAGTTTCTGGTGTAGGTTTGTGCATTGTCTTATTTCTAATTTTATGCATTGTCTTATATTGGATTAAACTCTGTAATTCTGTGACGTCAACACGCCTTGCTGGTTTTCATTGTGACCACACGCAGCTCGCCGAGAGGACCTGGGAAAGGAAGAAACAAAAGCCAACCTTTTTCCAAAGTTAACTATTTTAGAATATTTTCTTCCTTTACAGTGTTCACACTAATACTTAATACTAAGCTGCAGCTAAAGATATATACCACCCAGAATAATATTGTTTAATCTCTAAAGGTTCTGCTTTCCACATGATATCTACTGCCTTTAAAGTTTTTTTTAATGCTAATTTTGGTTTTCTATTGTCTTCTTTTTGCATCTATGTTTTCAATTCTTATTTTTCCTTAATTCTACTTTCTTTCCCACCTCCATTTCTGTATCTGTCTGTTGTATATGATTTTACACAAAAAAATAATTTTTAATAAAGTTAAACATATAATTATCAAGCGAAATCTTATGGCAAAATTCATACTGGTCTCCTTGTGGAAGCAAATCTGTTCCCAGAGTTATATTGGCAAAACAGGATACAACAAAACAAAAATAAATTAGTTTTAAACTACAGAATTACAGAATTAAATCCCTCCCGGATTATAAATCATTAAGATCCCCCTATTTTAGATAATTGCTCAGAAATATTAGAAGTAACGATCTGGAGGTCAAAGATAATCAGATCATTCATAATAAACATCAGGTTGGTGAACTGAAGACTTCATACCAATGAAGGTCGGCTGAACAGGAAAAGCGGGCTTTAGAAAGCAGATCTGGAAACATTTGAGTGCCGCGAGACTCTTTGAACAAACTGCAGAGCCTGTTAGACCAGAAATGTCGACGGTTACACAGTCCATAAACTCTGAGTTCTACAGGCGTGATCTGAGTGGCTTTGTTAGACCAGAGAGAGTTATTTCCTCTGGGATCCTGTTTACTCTTCATCAGCTGATTCGGTTCTACAGATTAGTGGACCAGATCCGGACAAAAACATTTAGAAATTACTAAATTTATGCATTTTTTTAAATGAATTTTTTATTAAAGATGTAAGTCATGAAAATAATCTTCAAATCAAATGGAAATGGATGCATAAACACCTGCA